TAATGGATCCCAAAAGAAAAATGAAATTTAGATCTTTCTTTCTTTCGGTCAATTCACCTAACAACACCACAACCAATCGACGAGTCTTTTGGTCTTTCTACTCTAATGTCACTGTCATATTATTCAATACGTGTCATTTGTTGTTCCAACGATAAGTGGATTAGTATAAACAACACCAATTCAAATTTATGAGATAATTGTACAGGTAAGTAACTTTATTATAGAGGCACGCCAATTGAAAATCAAGGAACTTCACTAAACAAAAAGGTCACTTATAATTTCAAACATATTAAAATAATTTACATTTGAAACTGTTGGGAATTTTTTCTGTTCGAGGTCTAACCCAACGAGTCCCTCAATAAATAATTAGTTGGCCCAATCCTTAGCCCGGTTCACCGAATTCAGTCCAAACCCTTTAACCCAAACCCAATTTACTAACCCATATATCAAACCCTAAACCCATTTGTTAGGTTGATTATAACTGTGTATGTGGTTTTTAGTTAGGAAAAGTTAATAAGTGTTATATAAGATGGTGAGTTTGGTGTATGTTGGTGATGATCACTTTATCAAAACGTGAACCGGAAAGGAGATTAAAACCGAGAGAAAAACCGCAGAGAGTGAGGGAGAGGTTTCTTGGGTGAGTTCCGACGAGTGTTTTCCAATGAGATCATGAACCTTTCTGATGGCCGATTCTGGTGGGTGTCGAGGTTTAGAGTGATGCGCCGACCTCCACGTTGAGGCGTGGTTATCTTGGGTCATTCTTGCACCGTGGGACTGAGCCGAAACATGTCGTCCCTAACACCGGAAAGAGGATCGGAGCTAATCGATCTTGTCCGGAGAAATTTCGGTGAAGGAGAAGCTAACGGAGTCGCTGTCTCTATTCTTCGAAGAAAGGGTTCCGCCGCTGTCCCTCCGGGTTCGAGTTCATCGGAGAAGATCGGTGCTGCCATTGGTTACTCCAAAAGCCATCGCCAAAGGAGATAGTCAGAGGAATCGCTGACCACCGAATGACGCCCTGTCGCTGCGTAGCTCTGTCGCCCCCGGATGAGGGTGTAAATCCGATATGTTCGCTTGGGTGATGATGGATGGGGAAGAAGTTGCAGCTGTCCCGGAGAGAAGCCGTCGCCGTTCGTCGCTGCTCATCATCGCCGTGAGAAGACATCGTTTACGGGTGCGGAGGTATCGGAGATTGGCTTATCCAATTTGTGGTTGCAGAAAGCAGTTCACGAAACATAAATGAAGTAATTGGTTTCTTTAATTAAGACGTGTTTGTTTGATTTGATAATCAAACTTCCAGTTTGTGCTTTTGCCTTTTTTGTTTTAGTCTAATTTCAATTTTGATTTCGGTATTATAGTATTGATTTGGTTTTATTCGATTTAATTGTTTTCGTTAATAATTGTGTCATATTTATATACGAGGTATTGTTCAATAAATCCAAAAGATTTGGGAATAAATTCACAACAATGGTATCAGAACTCCGGGTGATCAACCGACTGTGAAATTGAAATAAAATTTGATTTGAGTTTGGTAGGACTCGAATCGTGGTAAAATGATAAGCCCTCATCTATTTATTTTCAGTATATTATTTTTTCTTGGTAAAATTTTGATTGATAATATGATGAAATTTTAAGTGTTGTTGGCTATTCTTTTTTGGTGGTTGATTGAGTAATCTTAGAATTTGTCGTAATTTCATATTATTTCTTGGTGAAATTTTTTGAAAATTGTTTTTTATTCCTTGGTTATTTTTTATTGTATAGTTTCTTGGGCTATGTTTGTGTTAGTATTAGAATTTGAGTTGCTATAGCCAATTATTGGATGCATGTTGATATTTCCGTTTAAGATAGAAAATACATGTTAAGTATTATTTAAAAAATGCCTAAAAAGAATTATAAATTGGAGGATAATCAAGAATAAAATGATTTTGTTGCATTATGTATTTCCTTGATGAAATAATTGAAATGCATGTATTAGATTCCTGATTTGTATACTATATGATTGACTTAGTTTTTCCTCCATAGGTTCTTTGTGAAAATAATAAAATGTCAAGTGTGAAAATCAAATTGCATATTTCTTGTGAGGAATTAGTTGAAAATAACCATGAGATGCTAAATTAAAACTAATTGTAGAAACTTTAGAACACTTTGATGGATAATGTTGTTTGCTATGTGATGAGTTGCATGTATTTCTTGAAATCTTTGCGATTTGATTGTTTAGTTGGTAGTATGTGGATTGACTTCTTGATCTGATCCTATTATGTGAATTGTCTTGTTGATGTGATAGAGACTAGCATTAATATTTTGTGATCATGCTTGTTACTTGGATTGTATGTTTTGTGGACTAGTTACTTTTGTTTGATTAAAGCATGTTGTCTCCTTATTTAATTGTTTGTGGTCATCGAGCCTGTAGATTTGCGCTTTGGCTGTGTGTTTTGTGCTTAGGCTGTAGGACTTTGTGCTTAGGTTGTAGGACTTAGTGCTTAGACTGTTGGACGTTGTGCTTAGACTGTAGGACTTTATGTTTAGGTTGTAGGACTTCACGCTTAGGCTGTAGGGCTTTATACTTAGACTGTAAGACTCTGTGCTTAGGTTGCAAGACTGCTGTTTGAATTGTAGGGCCGTATACTTAAACTGTAGAGTAGTGTGTCTAAGTTCGGAAAGTAATGTGTCTGAGTCATAGAATAGTTTGTCTATGCTGTAAAGTAGTGTATCTAAGTTGTAAAGTAGTGTTCTGGACTGTAGAATAGTGTGTCTAAGCTGGAGAGTTATGTGTTTGAGCTGTAGAGTTGTGTGTATAAGGTATAGAGTTATGTGCCTTTGCTGTTTTGTGTGCCTATGCGATCTCTAGGTGATGTCAAATAAGGTGGAGCTCATGTTATGTGATTCTAAGTTTTATATTCGGCATGTGATTGCGTTATATTTGTGAATATGCATGTACGTTGTTGGATTGTGTAGTAGCTTGTTTTCTCTCTTATAATCTGTAGGTTCATTGTGCTGAATCTGTTTAAACTTCCATGTATACTTTTTTTTCGTAGTAACTTATGTGTACTACATGCTAGGTTGTTGAGTGATCAATCTAAGTGCATGATAGGACTCGTGTGTTCTATGTGTCATATGTTTTTCCACATAACGTTTGTTAGTGGATACAACAAGGGACAAAATGCGATGATGAATTCCATTAGTGCAAGGTAAGTCTATATCTAGTAAATATGTATTTTGGATTTGGTTAAATCACGACCAAAATATGTGGAGATTGTTGGAAATTTTGTCTGTTCGAGGTCTAACCCAACAAGTCTCTCGATAAATAATTAGTTGGCCCACTCCTTAGCCCGGCCCATCGGATTCGGTCAAAACCCTTTAACCCAAACCCCATTCCCAAACCTATATATCAAACCCTAAGCCTATTTAGTTTGGGAAAGTTACTAAGTGTTATATTAGATTGTGGGTTTAGTCTGTGTTGGTGATGATCACTTTATCCAACCATGAATTGGAAGGGAGATTAAAACCGAGAGAAAAACCGCAGAGAGTGAAGGAGAGAGAGAGGTTTTTTGGGTGAATTCCGACGAGTGTTTTCCGGTGAGATTATGAGCCTTTCCGATGGCCGATTCCGGTAGGTGTCGACGTTTCGAGTGACGCGCCAACCTCCACCTTGAGACGTGGTTACCTCGGGCCATTCTTGCACCGTGGGGCTGAGCCGAAACATGTCATCCCTAACGCCGGAGAGATGATCGGAGCAAATCGATCTTGTCCGGAGCAATTTCGGTGAATGAGAAGTTACTGGGGTCGCTGTCTCTATTCTTCGAAGAAAGGGTGCCGCAACTGTCCGTCCGGATTCGAGTTTGTCGGAGAAGATCGGTGCAGCCGCTGGTTAGTCCGAAATCCGTTGCCGAATGAGATAGTTGGAGGAATCGCCGACCACCGAATGACGCCCTGCCGTTGCCTAGCTGTGCGCCGCCGGATGAGGTGTAAGTTCGATCTTTTCGGTTAGGTGATGATGGCTGAGGAAGAAGTCGCAGCTGTCCCGGAGAGAAACTGTCGCCATTCGTCGCTGCTCATCATCGCCGTGAGAAGACATCATTGGCGGGCGCGGAGGTATCGGAGATTAACAAATTTTCTACCTTTTCAGGTTCAATTAAACGAAATTGCAAGTAAAAATACTTATCTTTTCAATCAGTGCTTAAATTAAATTATTGGACACGATTTGATTATAAAAATAATAATTCTTAAGTTATATTGTTAATATATTTATTATATGAGTTTATATTATATTTTGATTATTTTTATGCTATTTTTAATTAATACGTATGTTTATTTTGAATAATTGTAATTTCTAAAATTTATATAAATTAATATTTTAAAAGTTAAAATATAATATTCAAAATATTATTAGATAATAAAATTATATAGAAATATGTATACATAAATAAATTATTGTGAATTTATAAAATAATAAAATGAATATGTTAGATGTAATTTACTATAATGGATAAAAAAATAAAATAATTTGAATGTTCAAATAAATATAATATTGATAAAAAATAAAAGAAATAATAAGTAAAGATAATGACTATAACATATACTTTATGAATATTTCTCTTAAAATATTTATATATTTTTTATTTATTAAAAAAGTATCCATCAAAACACTAGGGTGTTTGTTTGGGATTTTGGATTTTGAGTTGAGATTTGAATAGTAAAAATTTTAAATTTGAATAATTGTATGATGTGAAATAAATAGGTGTTATGTGATCTTTTGAATGTAAAATTTATTTTTAGTATAATATAAAAATAAAAAATAGATAAAAATAAGTATTTGATTTGATATTTTTGGAGAAAAAAATGGAATGAATAATAAAAATCTAATCCAATTCCCCAGACAAACACACCCTACTAGTACTGTAATTTATCAGTGAGCAAAGACAACACGGAAAAAACACATGTAATTGACGTATACCGAACCAAGCAGCAGACGACTTGAGAGTGACCACAAGCACGGCGAAATAAGTAAGTTAATAAATTGTGATGTGGTTATTCAGTTCGTGTTCACGTTCATGTTCATCGATCAGTGCAGTTCAGTAGTGGAGTTGCCTAGATCTGAACCCCAGCGCCTCCGGATCAGTTTCTACAAATGGCGATTTCGATATCCGCCACGTGTCCCACACGCTGCCCCCACTCGCCACGTTCCCTCTTCCTCCTGCTGCTTCTCCTCTTCAACAGCACTCTTGCAATTCTCCGATTCTGTCGCAGGAACTCGAATCGATCGTTGCTACAGATTCTGCTGCTCCCTCTTCTCACGGTACGGTATGGTACGGCATAGCGTTCTCTCCTGTTCCAATATTTTGCTTGCTATTTTTGAAATCACGCGCACACTTGTGTTCAATAATCTCAAATGTTTCGCTGGTTCTTTGTGCGGATTCGAAAATTTGGGGATTCTGGATTAATTCTTGTTGAACAGCGTGATTTTAAGTGTTGCGATAATTAGAATAGAACTGCCAAATCTGTGCGATTTGCGCACATTAATTTGATTTCATCCATTTCCATTTCCAACTCCGATTTCGATGAAGCCTAAACTCACTCTAAACATAATCGATTGTGCGTCTGTACATGCATATACTTATATATGGTCTAACAAATTTAAAACAGGTTAGTAAAACCTATGAAAAATTATGGAACGAATTTCTTCGGAGAGTGAGGAGTTATTCCTGGTCACTTAAGTCGAGGTAATGCATGTCTGTCTGACATATTGCTGATGATGTTGTTCCTCTCTTGACATATTTTGTTTTTGTGTGTATGCCATGCCATGCCAGGGCAGTGCGCATCATCATCGTAACGATACAAAGTGTTCTGTAAAGATGGATCATGATTATTCGTTGCGTGCTGGTTTTCAAATGTTGGATGCGGATTTCTTCTCCAATGCCAAGGTACCTAACCTATTGAGTATTCATTTTCATGGCTGTGATGTGATGAAGTTAGAGCTAAATGTTTTATCTCACTTGGTTGGTAGATGTTGGAGATTGAAAAAGGAGCCAGGGAATCCAACATTCCTATAATGAGATCGAATCGGAAACTCGTTGCCTCAGTCAATGGAGGATTAGAAAATCCATCTTGTCTGGCCTTCACTTCCACGTGGAATCACAACGATGTTCCGGATGCCCCGAAAGGATTTAAATATCCCCATCTATCAGGTGTACAGAGGCCGAGTAACGACAATGAAACTGCTTTTATGAGTGTAAGCAATTGCTACAGATACAATTGGAAAATGCTCATTACTTGTGATTGATCCGTTATTTCATTTTTCATATGTTGAATCAGATTCTTGAACTGGGGGAACTGATGAAGTCCAAACAGATTACATCGGTGGAGCTTGCACGCATCTTTCTGAATAGATTGAAGAGGTATTATGCCTATCTGCTTGAACTGTCTTGAATAGTAAAATTAGTTTTGATTTGATAGAAATTATTGTGTTGTCATTGAATGCATATAAGATTGAAGCTAAGGTTTATAGTATAGTAATGTAACTTTATTGGTACGTCCATCATTTGCATTGCAATAGATATGGTCCAATCCTCGAGTCTGTAGTGACTATAACGGAAGAATTAGCATACGAGCAAGCAACACGGGCTGATGAACTACTTGCAAAAGGGATCTATTTAGGTAAGCATTTCTCTTCCCTCCACACCCCCCCCCCCCCCCCCCCCCCCCCCCCCCCCCAAGAACAATTAGGCAACAGAACTTCCTCAAGTAATTAACTCATAATCATCTAGACAACATGTTGATTTATATTGTTACTACTTGTCTTGATAGAACACTAGAAACCAGATTTGTGATTATGACTTCATTTAGGTCCACTCCATGGAATTCCATATGGTCTGAAGGATACAATTGCAGTACCCGGATACAAGACGACTTGGGGCTCAAATCTATACAAAGATCATGTTCTTGACACCGAAGCATGGGTTTACAAAAGGTACTTGGAATATTGTAAGCCAAAAATACAGAAAGGTTTAAAGTCACATTGATATCATTGTGTGTGTGCTTGTCTTTATTTATTATTTTTAATTACAATCCAATATGGAGAACATATGGAGAATGAATGTCTAGCCGCAAATGAGGTGATGGAATATTTTCAGCCAATTTGGGGCCCTCATATTGATGTAGATATACTTGTGCATTTGCTAATCGATTCAGGCTAAAGTCTGCTGGGGCAGTTCTTCTTGCAAAGCTCGTGACAGGTTCGCTTGCATATGATGACATCTGGTTTGGTGGTCGAACCCGGAATCCTTGGAATATTGAGGAATTTTCTACAGGTTCATCTGCTGGACCAGCTTCCAGTACCTCCGCAGGTATGGTGCATATCTTAGTTACCATTCTTTACAACCAGGGTCCAAAAATCTGTGTTTTGTCTACGGCAATGAGGTTATACAATTAAAACAGGGCTGAGTGGTTGCACATTTGGTATTATGCAGGTATGGTTCCCTTTGCGATAGGGTCAGAAACTTCTGGATCATTGATTTATCCCGGTGCTCGCTGTGGTGTGACTGCCCTGCGTCCAACATTTGGAATGGTTGGTCGAACTGGTGTCATGAGCTTATCGCATAGTTTGGTAAATTTCTCATATCTGCCCCACTGGGGATGATTGATTGAGTCTTGAACATGTTGATTCGCGTTTTTGATGAAATTCAAATGTTTAAAAAAGTCGTTGAACCGAGAATCTTGTGAGACTCATAAGTGCCACGATTTAACCTTTTGGGATTGTTTACTATGAAAAATTTTGACGGGAACTAAAACTGAAAGGATGCTGTATACTTGGTAGGACAAACTCGGACCTATGTGTAGAAGTGCTGCAGATTGTGCAATAATTCTGGATGTGATACGGGGAAAGGATCCAGATGATCTTTCGTCGAGAAACATCCCTCTTTCTGATCCATTTGCTGTCGATATAACAAAGCTGAAAGTAGGGTACCTTGAAGATGCTGAGATGGAAGTAAGTGAACCCACAACTTGTCTGTTTGATAACAATGTAATGTTGTAATAAGCAAAGTGGCACAACTTGATGTGTGGTACCCTCGACTTGAGTTCAGGTTGTCCAAATTCTTCAATCGAAAGGGGTCAAGATGGCTCCTTTTAAGCTGAATTACACAGTGGATACTGCTCAAGGCATCCTGGAGTTCACGATGGATGTCGACACGTTGGCTCACTTTGACGAGTGGCAGCGTTCAGGCCAGGATGACGAATACGAAGCTCAAGATCAATGGCCAGTGGAACTTCGCCGAGCCCGTGTTATACCTGCTGTTGATTATGTTCAAGTATGTTATAATATATATATATATATATATATATTTGCGCAGATTTGATCGATTATGTTGTGTTCTTGGTTGAGATGTCAATAAGTAGAGAGAGACTCATGGCAGGCGCAAAGAGCACGAGGAAAACTGATTCGGGAGGTGCGGGAGGGGTTTAGTGTGGATGCATTTGTTGGAAATGCAACAGATTGGGAGAAGATCAGCATCGGCAATCTTGTGGGGATGCCTGTAATTGTAGTACCAACTGGATTCAAGAAAATATCCAATGCAGCAGACTCTACCCGAAGGAGAACGACCGTGAACACTGGAATTTATGCTCCACCGGAACACGATCACATTGTAAGTCTTACTCTTTAACTAACTTAACTTTTTTATTTTTTTATTTTTTATTTTTTATAACATGGGAGCTTGCAATCGTTACTGAAAATGTATCGGAGTTTGAGATAAATAGTGACCGGTTTTTATGCACATTTAGGAAAAATTACACTATATAATACTCCTTCGTCCACTGACTAATGTCCTACTATTTTATTTGGGATGTCCAATAACTACTGTCCTATTTCTTTTTTTTTTTAAACACAAATTTTACATTTTTACCTTCATTCATCCATACACTTAAGGACAAATTTGTCAATTCATAACAAAAAGATAATCACTAGAACTGTGTAAATATATTTTAGGACAATAAAAAATGGACGGAGGAAGTATATGATAATAAATATACAACAAAGTTAGGCGCTGATTTGACGAGTCAGCATTCTCCCGTAGCCTAGTCTATCAATAGGAAAGATTATATGATTTTCGTTATATGTATTTTTGAATTGGGATTATTTATGGCATTAATCGATGTGTTTATTGCGATCACGATCACAATGACACTCGTGTATATATATATATATATATATATATATTGGGTGGGTGCGTGGAATATTGTATTTATATTATATATTATTATTATTATTAATTGCAGGCGCTGGCATTGGCAATGGCGTATCAATCGGCGACTGAGCATCATAAGCAGCAGCCACCAATTGACGAGGTTGGCCCAGACGACTCGATACCCAATCAACCTGCTGCTGCAGCTGCTTGATAAAGGTAATTAATTAATTTGATGATATATCAGGATGAATATAATATATTATATTATATGAGAGAAGCTTTTATAAGTGTACTTGATTCTACCAGGATGATCATGATAGATATCTAAGACGTATATATGACAACTCGTACGAATGACTATATGATAAGTCCTTTTTATGTTATGTCTGCAAGTGAGTAATCTTTTTGTGTAAGATTGTACTAATGTGTAAAATATTGATTTTCTTTGTTCAAATATTTAAATTTGGCTTTTCTTGTACTATTGCTCCACACAATATTTTGTCTGATTTTGTCCGATTTTAAAAGGTCTGGACATTTTACTTTGTACATGAAATTAAAAAATTTATGTATTATGTTCATTTTAATTGAATTTTTTAAAGTTTTGATGATTATGAAAAATTTTTAAAAGATTTATTAATATGTATATCATTTTATAAAGAATAAAATTTTATATTATACAAAAAGTGAAAAAATTATAATTTATAAAGATATTTATCAAAAACATAAAAATAAAATTTTTATAAAGTGTTTTGCACAGGATATAATATTCAATTAGAGTGATATCACCGGTGTAGTAGAATCACCGATTAGAGTGATATTACCGGTATAGTAGAATCACCGATATGGTTTTGGACCTGTTGGCTTGGAAATTGATTTCGGCCTTAAAATTTTTGTTTGTAAGATATGGTGGGTTTCCGGGCAACTCGATGCGAGCTCCCGGTGATATGCGTTCCGGAAAGATAAATTAAAATCAACTCAAGAAAAAGCGATAAATTGTATTGGATGGATTATATCGATTATTACAGAACTCTATTTTTGAAATGCAACTAGAAATGGCTGAAATGTTTTTTTTTGTCTTGATTATTTATCGGCCACTAATAATTCATTAGCAATTTATTTAATTTTTTTTAGTGGCCAATTAATTCCTCTTGCCAAGACTACCAAGTCTTTAATTACTCCTAAATTTTCCTCTCATCACCACAAAAAAAAACCGTTCATATATAAAGTGGGGGCTGAAATGATTTCGGTATTTGAATTACAAATTCAAATATCTCTTCAAGTCTTGAACCAATTTTTCTCCGATCTGGTTTGCCTTTTTGTCCAACTCATTGCGAATTTCCAATTGTCCCACCAAACATTTTTTTTATACGCTAACATAATATCCCCTATATTTCACAAAATATTAATCAATCAAATAAGTAAATTTTGTGAAATATACATACCTGGATCGATCAATCTTGATCCGCAGTAGATGAATTATTGGCACAAAACTATCATTATGATACGGTCTTTCGCGTAACGATAGTTGACTCACGGACGTGAAGAAGAATTGATAGAGATAGCCATAACGTGAAATTCCATCGTTGAAAATGAATTTCCTAAAGCGGCGTTCAATCACTACAACACCTACCATCTAGGAAAACATTTTATCGCAATTTCACTGTGGCAAAACAATTGTAAACCCACCATTCCCATCAGCGACTAGCAATGATCAGCCTTCGAAACTACAAACGACACCTATCGCCAACTTTTCTTTCCAACTCACCACAACTCCTTAAATACCAAGCACAATTTCTAAGCCAACTCTAATACGATCGAATCAAAACCCAGAAGACATGTGATACAGTTTCAAAAACCGTGCGTTCATAGCTCCTTTTAATTCCAACCCATTGGGATACATTATTCGATACGCTCCATTCGGTAGCATATCACTAATCACGTAAGGACCTTCCCAATTCAACGAGCAATTTTCTTTTTGATGATCCTTTGTCCCAATTGGCAAAAGACATTCCAAAACCAAGTCACCAATCGCAAATGACCGGCCCTTAACTTTCTTATTATACCACCGTGCCACCTTGGCTTTATGTGCCCGAATATTTTTTAAAAGCAGTCCATCTCTCCTCTTCTGCTTGATCGAGCTCATCGTACAATGCCCAATGATAATTTTTGATGCTCAATCCATGCTGTTGAGCGACCTGCAAAGAAGGAACCCCGATCTCTACTGGCAACACGGCATCCTGTCCATATGTCAATTGGAAGGGCGAAAAATCAGTCGCAGTGTTCTTGGTGTTCCGATATGCCCACAGCACCTCGGATAAAACTTCGTACTATTTCTGAGGGCTATCTTCCAGCATTTTTTTGATGATCATCCCCAAGCTCTTATTCGTAGCCTCGGCTTGCCCCTTGGCCTGAGCATAATACAACGATGAATGAATAAGTTTAATCCCGTCTTGAGCCACAAATGCTTTAACTTGCTCTTATGTGAACACTGTCCATTGATCAGCCGTAATCGTTTGAGGAATCCCAAAGCGATTAATTATATGCTCTTTGATGAACCGAATAACATACATTTGAGTGATGCTAAAATATGAAGCAACCTCTGCCCACTTCGTAAAATAATCCGTCGCCACAAGAATGAACGCATACATTTTCGAGGATAGTGGATGAATCTTCCCAATGATATCCATCGCCCAACCTCTAAAAGATCATAGCTTAATAATGGGATGTAACTCCTCAGCTGGCACTTGACGAATTGGTCCATGCATTTGACAAGCTTGGCAGCCCCGAGCATATGCAACACGATCTTCTCCCATCTTTGGCCAAAAATATCCATACCACAACAATGACCATTTCATGCGTGGGCCTGCTCGATGTGCTTCATAAATACCTTCGTGTATCTCTCTCATTATCTTTAACGCTTGCTTTTTATCTAGGCATTTCAACAATACCCCACTAATAGTTCGTCGGTATAACTCTCCGGAGATTAATGTATACCTAAGGGACTTGCGCTTAGTTTCAGAAGTCACATCCCGGGAAGGATCGGCAAGAAATTGTATAAAAGGTTGTCACCAATCTAAATCACGACCCTGACTTGCATCTTGGCACAAAATTGCCATTGTTGGCCTGCCGATTTAGCGGCCTCAGGATAGCCGGACGTGGCTTGCGCAAGATCATTTGCCTCACCATTACCTCGCCTTAACACGTGACATAACGATATCATCAAACTCACGTAACAAAGTTCGCGCCTCATCCTACAAATGTAACAAATTTGGATCCCGACATTCATATTTGCCGATAAGTTGGTTAATCACCAACTGTGAATCGCCTTGAATCAATACCTGTCGTGCCTCATGAATCGCCAACATATGCAGTCCAAAAATGAAAGCCTCATATTTAGCTTGATTATTCGTGCTTGCTTGTTGAAGTCGAAGGAAATGCCTCCAAACTTCGCCACAAGGGCTAAATATCACGACGCCAATCCCTGTCGATGTATGAGCACTCGACCCATCAAACTGTAAAATCCAAAGAGCTGCCCCCACAAAATAACATTAGCGCCTTCTATTGATTTAGAAATCGAGTGCTCAGCAAGAAAGTCAGCAATGTCCTGTTCTTTGACGGTCTTCAAAGACATATATTTCAACTCAAAAGGCATTAATCGAACAAACCATTTCACAAGACGACCCTTAAGAACAGGGCGATTCAGCATATACTTAATTAAATCGACTTTGCAAAAGACATAAACATCATGCGGAACAAGATAATACTTGTGTTTTGTACATGCGTAGTACAACGAATAGCACAATTTTTCTATAGTAGAATACCTCCCTTCCGCATCGTTCAATGTTTTGCTCAAGTAGTATATCACTCTTTCTTTGTCTTCATCGTCATCTTGCGCCATCAAACTGCCAATTGTCTCCTCGGACGCTGCGACATAAAGCTTCAAAGGCCTGCATTTTTTCGGTGACACTAAGATCAGAGGGCTGGACATAACTTTCTTCATCTCGTTGAACGCAATTTGTTGTTCTGGCCCCCAAATAAATTTAGCTGACCTTCCTCCCTTCGAAAGCATTGTGAAAGCCTTCATTTTTCCCGTTGCGTTTGCAATGATCTGCCTCAAAAATTTTATTTTTCCTATCAAAATTTGCAACTCTTTAATCGACTTTGAAGGATCTATTGCACTGATGGCTCTTGTTTTATTTCGATCAATTTCAATTCATTTCTCATGAATAAGAAAACCCAAAAAGTTTCCCGCCGAAACACCAAAAGCACATTTTGCGGGGTTCATTTTTAGCCGATGATGTCTCATTCACATAAATGCTTGTTTCAGATGCTCCAAATGAATCGCCATCCTATCAGATTTCACCACCACATCATCAATGTAAACTTCTATGCATCCGCCAATGAGATCATGGAAAATCAAGTTCATGGCACGCTGATACGTAGCCCCGGCATTTTTCAAACCAAAAGACATAACAACCCACTCGAATAAACCAATTGTCTCTGGACATCAGAACGCTGTCTTGGCGGTATCTTCCTCGGCGACAAAAATCTGGTTGTAACCCGAATAACCGTCCATGAACGATAATATCTCATGATTTTCCGCTGAATCAATTAACATATTTGCGACCGGCATAATGTAATAATCCTTTGGCGTCGCAAGATTAAGATTTCTAAAATCTATACATACTCGAACTGCGCCACTTTTCTTCTTAACTGGTACAATGTTTGATATCCATTTCGGATAGTGGCTAGTATGAATAAACCCCGTTCTCAATAGTTTTTCAATTTTCGACTTGATCGCCGAAAGCAATTCGGGATTATACCTTCTAGGCAGCTGCTTGTGTGGTCGATAACTTAATAAATTGGCAATTGATGCTCAATCAACTCCCTAGCCAACCCCGGCATCTCCAAATAGTCCCAAGCGAAAAAATCACGATACCAAAAAATCAAATTTTCCATTCTCAGACGATCATGATCAGAAAGTCGTGCACTGATTCTTGTAGTCCTCGGCTCTTCGGGCGTTCCAAGATTCACTTACACTAAAGGGTCCTGCGCCTAAAATGTTGGCGCTCTTCTCTGTGCCGGCGGGAGCGGCTCAAATCCTCAAGTGTCTTTTCATCAATTGCCATCATTAAATAACAACTCGGGCTGTCCGACACTCAACCCGCGGCCTTATTTCAAAGCTAGCGGATATGAGAACATACTCGACATCTCCTTGCACATTATCTTTTAACACATTAGATAATGGTTGCAAATCGGTTAAATAATAAGGAACATCCATGGGAGCCAATTCAGAGGCGAATGGATCGGCTTGAGTGTCAACCGTTTGAACCGTCTCTCCATCCCAAAAATGCACTTTATGATGTAAAGTTGATGGCACACACTTACATGTGTGGATCCAATCTCTTCCTAACAACGCCGAGTAAGCCGGTTTTCCTTCAATAACTATAAAAGTTGATCGCATTGTTTTTGTCCTAACTATTACATCGACTTTTAACACTCCGGATGGTTTATGTGCATTTCAAGTAAAACCAGTTGTTTGAATCTGGGTTAGGATAAGATCTTCTTGCGTCTTCTCAATCTTACGAATGGTTGAAAACAGTATAGCATTAGCAAAAGCCCCTCTATCAACCAACGCTCTTCCCATGGGGCGCCCATCGATCACCGCCCTTAAATATAAAGGCTTAAGATGCTGACTTTGTTCATCGGAAGGTTTTGGAAATGCCAACACTTTTGAACAAACATTATCATCACCAATAAGAGCAGCCACTTCTGCCTCTTCTACCTCACGTCTCCATCCAAACGGTTAGGCTGTGAGCTTTTGGGATGAAATTCAGATGAAAGTATTCCCAAAACATCTACCTCGTCGGGATTGATCATGCTAAAAAACTCATCAACTTCTCTCTCGATAGCTTCTTCATCAACTTCAATTTCCTCTTCCAAATCATCATCCTCACTCACTACAGATTTTCCAAGTCTTCCAGGCACGCCATCAGATTTGTTGGATTTTTGTCGCTTGATCGGCACCCATCTTCGAATTTTTGCTAGTTGTGGCTTCCTTGGCAACTATTTCTGAACTACCGGCATAAAAAATCGCTTTTCAACTGAAGCAGCATGCATCCCCTGTTACTGGCGATTTCTTCCTTGGCGGCCAACGGACGGCCACAAATCTTTTTCGGCATTATTTTGAGTTTCTTTACTCGGCATTTGCTCCCCTATTGGAAGAATCCTTGTATCTTATCGTTAGCAGCTTGTATCTTTGCAACGAGCAGTCCACCAAACATTTTTCTCAACGGGATCCTCTTGTTGCTGACGCTTAATTTCTTGGTGGCCAACGACCCGCCAAGCCTCTTCTCCAACATTATTTTGAGTCACTTGAGTTGGCAATTGCTCTCCTGTTGATACAAGCTGCACCTTTTTTTTTTTTGTTGGCAATTCATTTCTTGGAAGCAAAAAAAGCCCGCCAAGTTCCTTTTCCAGAAATATTTGGCTGACTGCGAAGCGAGCTATCATTCCCAAATGTCTTCTCAACTACCACGGCTGGTTTACTCAATTCGGTCTCTCATTTCTATTTTGAAATTGCCTCCTGAAATTTCTGAGCCAAATTCTCTCTTTGACGCCTTCTTCTTTGTGTTCGAGTCAAGATACTTTGCCCCTGAATATCCCGCACCTTACGATTAACAATTTATTCATCCACTGATCGTACCATAGAAGGCTTCCTTATCGTGTGGGGACGAATAACTACCCGATCACCTGTGGAGACATTGCAAAAGGTATTTCCCTTCTTGGCATCAACTTCTACAACCGCTGATGATGGGCGCAAGCAATCCTTCAACGTCGGCCTCTTTTTTGAGGAACCGTCCTTTTCATTGTTGCATTTAAAATTTCCAAGTTGTTGGAACACTGATCCAGATCGCTGCCATTGATTTCCTTTGAATTGCGCAGTTTGTTAACTCCCTATCCTTTCACAAAAAGATTTACGCTGCTGCTCTCCACCTTTTATCGACATAACATTTATAGCCGCAGGAAAAGGTTTTGAATCGATTTTCATATCCTTCTGCTCAACTAACTTTAAAAGACCTCTCTTCAACACTTGTTGTATAGCATTTAGAAATGCCACACAATTTCCAATCGAATGGCTGTAAGAGTTATGCCATTTACAATACACTCGACTTCTTAACTCGTCTAACGCAGGAATCTTCAGGCCCATGGTTGTTACGGCGTCGCCTAGGCGATGCCTAGGCATCCTGGCAGTGCATCAGTATTGCCAGGACAGATCGCCTCGCCATTTGGCGAGGTCGGCGTCCAGTCGTCGCCAAGGCGGCACCATCTCGCCAAAAGACGCCAAATGGCGACTCGAGTTGGCCCAAACAGTGGGTCAAGAAGACCCAGCCCTAAAACAAACCCAGCCCTAATACATAACTTAGTCTAAACCTAGTTTAGGTATTTTTTTTCCTACCCTACCTGTGTCGTTGCGTTGCCTCCTCTACCTTCTCTGCTGCCGCCGGTCGTTCTGTCTCCCTTCCTCACCGTCGAAGTAAGTTGAGTTACATTTTGTTATGTTTGTACTGTTCGGTGGTGGAAAGAAATTCTGGTGGAAGAAAGTTGAATTGAATGGATGAGAGTGCCTGACTTGTTAAATAATAATATATTTATATATTACGTGTGTAGTTAGTAGTGGGTGTGTCAGTGATAGTACTTTTTCTTTTCTTTTCTTTTGTTTTTTGTTTTCTTTTTATGTATTGTATAATTTATATCTTATATCTTAAGTTATTTAATATATTTTATTATATTGAGATTATTATTGAAACATTATGATCTTGATTTTATATTGTTTATTATATGTATTTCTTTTTTCATGATAATATGGTATTTTTTTTAATATATTTTTTTATTTTTACTAGTTTTAATTCTATGGTTGAAAACGAAAGTATTCAAGATTTGTCAAAAGATCCGGCAAGAAAAGCTAAATCATCGGATCCGGGATGGAAGTATGGATTTTGGCCGGATTTGACTAATAAAGATTTAATTGAGTGCACTCTTTGCCATAGGCAAATGCATTCGGGAGTAAAAAGACTGAAACAACATCTACTTGGCAACTATGGTGATGTTGTCAAATGTCCAAACACCACGGAAGAAATTCGCAAGGAGATACATCAATTTATGAGCAAAAAAGAGATGGACAAAACTTCACGAACTACTGAGTTTGATTGTTTTGAGGATAATGAAGCCAATGAAGAATTAGAGGAGGATCAATATTTAGGTGTTACAAATTCATCATCCCACTTTTTTTTTGCGTCCAAGTTTAGGAACAAGTAGCAAAAGAAAGTTGGCTCAATCAACTCTGAAGTTTTCTGAACCTCCGAGAGTTGAAAAACAAAGTAAGTTAATTGCTGCAATGATTCGAAAGACTCCTGAAGAGATTGTTAAAGAAAGACATATGGGGGGTTATATTCAGAAAACCATCGAAGCTTCTACAAAAGGAAAAGAGGAAACGAGAGAAGTGAAAAGGCGTATTGCCGACTTTTTCTACGAAAATGACATTCCATTCAATGCTTTCAAATCAAGAAGTTACGAGATTATGATTGAGGCCGTTGGACAGTATGGTTCCGGTTTAAAACCTACTAGTTATCATGAGTTGCGGGAACTATATCTTGAGGATGCCATAGATGTAACAAATAAGTTGAAAAAAAGGCACATGGAAGCTTGAAAGCAGTATGTGTGTTCCCTTATGTCAGATGGGTGGACAGACAAAAGAGGACGACACTTGATAAATTTTCTTGTCAATAGTCTAGAGGGAAATTTTTTCTTAGAGTCTATTGATGCATCAGCGGAGTCACATGATGCAAGAATGTTGGCTGATTTGCTTGAGAAAAAAAATTGAAGAAATTGACAAGGAATATGTTGTGCAAATTGTGACGGATAATGGAGCAAATTATAAAGCAGCGGGAAGACTATTAGAACAGCGCATTCCTGGTCTTTTTTGGACACCATGTGCGGCCCATTGTATCGATCTTATGCTAGAAGATATTGGAAAAATGAATGAATTTAAACCCTACATTCAAAAGGCTAGAGATGTCACCACGTTTATTTATCGACATGGGAGACTTCTAAGTGCAATGAGGGAAAAGACCGGTGGCAGAGATCTGGTGAGGCCAGCGACTACTAGATTTGCTACTGCATTTCTCACTTTGCAGAGTTTGAACAAACACAGGAATGAATTGAGGCGGTTATTTGTGAGTGATTATTGGAGTGATAATAAGCTGTCGAAAACGTCAAAAGGGAAAAAAGTGATGGAAACCATTCTTTCATCAAAATTTTGGGATCAAGTAGAAGATTATTTATGTGCAACACTTCCTCTTTTGATTGTTTTTAGGCTAGTTGATGGTGATGAAAACCCAGCCATGCCCGAGCTTTCCTCGGCTATGAATCATGCGAAGAAGAAAATAACTGAATCTTTTATGAGCAAAAACAAAACAAGATTGTTGGCCAAGTTGATGGAAATAATTGAGGATCGATGGAGAGATCAAATGGAGGTGAAGTTATATGGGGCTGCACTATTCCTAAATCCTTCAAAATATTTTGAATTGAAAAGAAGTGATCCCGTATTTGCCCGTAAGCAACGTCAATTGTTTAATGATGTTCTAGAAAAGATGGTTAAAGATGAAGAGTTGACGGATAAGATTAGTGGTCAAGCAGATGATTACGATAAAATACAAGAAAGCTTTGGCCGTCAATTGGCAATCAAACACCAAATGCAAAAGAGTCCTCGTAAGTTTTTTTTAACGTATATATTTTTTATTTTCTATGAAACTTAATTTCAAATATTTAATATATTATATATATATCAGTTGATTGGTGGGATGCATATAGTGGTGACAACGAAGAGCTTCGATTACTTGCCCTACGAACTATTAGTCTATGCTGCTCTTTTGCCGGTTGTGAGCGCAATTGGAGCACATTTGAATTTGTAAGTAAATTCATTCGAAATTTACTTATATTAATATTTTAGTAATAATTTTTAGTTTTTGATATAAAGTTTTTGTTAATTTGTTTTTTTTTTTCTTTTAGATTCATACTAAGAAAAGAAATAGACTAGAGCACAAAAGGCTAAATGATTTGGTGTATGTTCAATATAATCGGAAGATTGAACATCGCTTTCCAAAGCGACGGGAAGAAGGAAGCAATTTTAGTCCCTTAGTTCTTGAAGAATTTCAATGGGACAATGAATGGGTTGATGATTCTCCATATTTGGTTCATGAAGATGGAGATCTTGAATGGCATCATGTTGATGAAGCCGTAGGTGCTTCAAGTAATCTCAATAATTCCAACATTCGTAGTAGAGGTGTTGGTGAATCCTCAGGTCCACCTGTCATGTATGATCGTCGCCGTGGCTCTTCTAACAGATATTTGGTGGATGAGAATGAAGATGATAATATGAACAATGAAAGTGAAGATTGATGTGAAATTTGAGAAACTGAGGGTTTTTTTTGGTGTTTTGAAACTTTAATATATTAAACTATTGGTATTTTAGTATTTTGATAGTTATGTTTAATACTTTGATGTTTTGGTATTTTGATATTTTATTTGATATATAGTGATTTGATGTTATAATTTTATATTCTATAATTAAATATTAAAAACTTATAATAGGTAAGTCGCCATATCGCCATATTGCCGCCATTTCGGGCGCCGTGTCGCCTAGGCGATATGGCAGTCCGACGGCGCCGTGCCTAAATCCAAGCCGTAACAACCTTGTTCTAGCCATCCTTCAACTTAATTTGTTTGACTTTCAACAAGAAATCAAAAATTTGATCCACCTTACTAATGTCGAATGAATAAGTAACCTTCGGACTAACCTCTTTTCCTTTGGCCAGCCGAAGCGTAGGACAAGTATGCATCTTGCCTTGCACCAATTCAGCGGCACACAACTCTGGTTGTTCATCCTCCTCCATAGCACTTTCATCAGCCGTCTTCTCATCAATAATCAAAACAGATTGATTCGCCGGTCGGGTTCGAATCACCCGAGCAGCTTGTCGCTCTTTTATCATTTGTTCCACAACATGAACAACCAACTGCTGAAAGTCGCTGAATTCCTATAGCACGAATTTGTCTTTTAGTTGCGGGTGCATGTTTTCCACAGCTATGTTCGTCGCTTGAGCATCTAGAATTTGAATATTACAACGACTTTTCAATTGCCGAAAACACTCAATGTACTCCGCCAACGACTCATCGATTTTTCGCCTTGAGCTCATCAGATTGAGCAATGTAACTTCAGCTGGTGGACTGTAAAATCGGTCATGGAACGTCCTTTCCAAATTTTGCCAAGATTTTACAAAATTTGGCGGTAGTGCCGAATACCAACTAAATGCGGCACCTGTTAACGACAATGAGAAGAGCTGAAGTTTATGCCAACCATTATAGCCTGCTTTGCTGCATTGTGCGGTGAAATGGCTTATATGCTCCACACTAGAACGTCCGTCCTAAAAGCCTGAAAAGAGTATAAACTTGGGAATTCTAAAATTGTGTGGCAATGACATCGTAGCTCATACCCAATCGGGGTATGGTCGTTGATATGATGGACGATCTAAAGGGCGTAAATGTTGTCCAAAAACTCTTCGAACAACCTCTGTTAATGTCTGTGGATCAATTGCCTCTAGATTCGCTAGTGGGGCAACGGGTGGCAATGGATGCATTGGAAGTGCTATACCAGCGGCATTATAATCTCCAGCCGGCGGACCCATTGGCGGTTGTTGTCCCATTGGCGGTTGTTGTTCTTGATATTGAGGATATATTTGGGAACCGCCTGGAGCTTCAAATGGGCGTTGCCTCCCGGGTGTTTGCTATTGTGGTACAACTCCCTGTCCTATGAATGAATTTGTGGCATTACCCCCTGAACCATACATCGGAATCCCACCGTACGGAATGTTTTGCACCGCTTGCCCCGCGACTCTATTTGGCGACTCCCGACGGAGCATCTGCACCTGTCCAAACTGTAATGGTCGTACTTCCGATGACGCTGAAGGTTGAAGCATATTATTTGGCAACATTTCATTCGGGACTGCGTAGACGACACCGTAGAACTCGGGCCTGTAGTAGATTGTATTGCTGAAATGGTATGCCCCAGATTTTGAATTGGCGCTAATGACATTTGGTGTTGTATGGCCATTGGCGACGAATTCACATTCAGCACTAAACCTTGCCTTGACTTCTCATATCGAACGGCGGCCATTTCATTATGAACGGCCTGCCGGAGAATGTCAGCCAATTGGTGCGACACTTCGTGCATAAAATCTTGAAGGCCGGATTGTAATGCAGTAACTACGAAATATTTTTGTAGTTAAAACGTGTTATTTAGCAACAAAAGTTAATTTTTTCACTAAAAAAAATATGTACTAGTCGCTAAAATTTCTTTGCTAGAAAATTCTATTTCATATCAAAAGAGTTTTAACTGCAAAATTATTTTTCATAGTTAAAATCATTTGACTAAAAAATTCATATATATTTTATTGTTAAAACTCTTTTGTTATGAATTTTATTTTTATTGAAAATGAGCTTCAGATATTTTTGTAGTTATATCTCTTTTATTAACTTTCATTGCAAAAAATTTATCTTTTGTTACAAAAGTTATATTTTTCGCAAAAGACCTTTACTAACATGGTATAGGCGACAAAATAAATTTCGCGGAAAAATCTTTTTTTGCTATGATTTTATTACTTCTTTTATGCAAAACTTTTTTTTAACTAAATTTTAACTTTTTTGTAGTATATATATATATATATATATATTATACAATTGAGTATTAATGTGTTTTTTTATTTCATCAATCACCACATCCGTCGACTTGGCAACTACTTTATTTCCAAAAATATCAGTAAAAGATGTACACAAGTCTCCTAAAGAAATTAGAAAACTTGCTATTTCATTTTTCTATATAATTTATTACTACAAGTTATCGTTATTTAATGTTTTTTTCCTTGTAAACATAAAGAGGACGTTGAAAGGAAGTTGTCATATCTATGGTTGGTTGTTAGTTGTGATTACACTCTCTCTTAACTACACAGCCTTGAATGGATATATATATATATATATATATATATATATATAAGTCCAGAGTTCGAAAATATTTAGAAATTTCAAAGAAATAAAATGGAGTGGAAACTCTACAGAATTATGATGCTGTGGATCTTTCTCGCGGGCTTCTTCTCATGTAAGATATATATATATATATATATATAACTTGTTCATTTTTCTAGGATTAATTCATATTTATATTGATTTTTACAATACAAAGTACACGTGCAAATTGTATCTTGGGTTTATTTCTTTTACTTTTTAAATCCAAGATTCTACTATTTGGGCCCTGCGTTTTCCGAAAAAAATATTTTTTTTTTCTCTCACAAAATATAATATCATACATTTAATACCAAACTCAAATTAATTTTTCTCAAATCCATCTAAAGAAAGGTTTGTTTATTTCGGATTTTATTTGAGTGTTGTAGTATTCAATATCTACATTTCTCAGTAAATATATATTTTTGTTTGACAAAGAATCAAATGAAGCCCCCAACGCCTTCAGTCATGGGTACCACACATGGTTCGCCTAATATAACTTGCTTTGTTGAATCTAGTTTTCAAACTATTAGATTTGGCCGGCAATTTAGCGTTGGTTTAACCTATCACCAAATCGTTAAACTAAATAATATATATGCATATATATCCCCAAAAGGATCAAATATATTTATTTGATTGCTTCAATGTGCAACTAATTTAAAAACTAGATCGACAACCATATGTTGTAGCTACTTCTTAGTGAAATAAACATTCTTAGTTTCGTTATATCACTAATTTTTTGTTTTGTTTCTTTTCTTTTTTCTAAAATTCCTTTACTATGGTGTATGAAATTTTTTGTTTTAGATTTAATTCTTTTGATTTAAAAATATTATATGTATATATATGCAACACTACGTATAGTATGTAGGTTTTTTTTTATATATATACGGAGATTCTCTAGAATTATCTAGTTAATATCAAACTAGTGATCTTTCTAATTGTGTGTATGTGTTTTTTTTTGTTTACATATGTTTTTTTTTATGGTTGTCTTGAAAAGTGTCGAAAATATTAAATATAATTTTTTTTTATTAAATTGCTGATTTTTATTTAGGAGATAAAGTATATATATTATATGTTGTATTTTTTTTAATGTTTATTGAAAATTGTATCACCAAAAAGATTTGTTATAAATTGTATAAGCGTGTATATATTATATATTTCTCAACTTTAAGATTTTATAAATATATTAACAATATTTAAAAAAATTCTTGCGGTAATAAAATGAAATGAATTGATTCATTAAAAACTTTCTAGGCTAATAATAATAATAATAATAATAATAATAATAACAAATACGAGATAATCATTCCCAATATAGTTAATCTAAATTAAACACTTCATGAAACCATCAATATATCATCACAAGATAAAACAATAGAACCTTATAAAAATCTTTGAGATAAGTTCTTCCCTAACATTTCTAATTTGCTTCACGGTATTTAAGTTTTCCTCGACATAAAGCAATAACTTTTTTGTAAAAATAAAAAAATATTTCAAGATCTTTTATTTTTATTTCATTGTTTCTGCTTATGAATTTATGATGAAACCTTTCAACTTATATACAATTTTCCCTCTTCTATATTTCTTAGTTTGTGTTGAAGCTAAGGTATGCACGTCTCGTCAAAGTCAATCATTCCGTGGAATTTGTAGGCTCGACAACAATTTTAGCAAGAAATGTAACATGGGTTGTAAGAAAGAAGGGTTCGAACATGGCATGTGTGTCGAGCCTTTGCTACAATGTGTTTGTTTGAAGGGTTGTGTTGTTCAACCTCTACCACCACCACCATCGTAACCATACCAAAATATGTAATAAGTTATGAACTTGCATCGATGGTTATAGAATATTTGTTGATCTTATGAGAATCGAAGTATTATATTCAAACAATTTCATTGAATTAAATTGATACTAATAAAGATGAAATCCAAGGAAACTTATTTTCTCAAGATTAGATCGATGTATTTGGTAAAATAGTCAATTCCGTGCATTTTACTTTTAGAATATCTAAATCTACTTCTTTATTAATACGCGATTCAAGTAAATTTAAAATTGGGTAAATTGGATAATACTCACTTTTGTTTTAGTAAAAATACAAAAAACACTTATGTTCTTTTATAAGATTTCATCCAAATTTTACTATTCATCTATTTTATTTTTTCTCTAAAAATATCAAATCAAACACCTATTTTTCATTTTTTATATTACATTAAAAATTAATTTTACATTCAAAACATTACATCATACCTATTTATATCACATTATATAATTATTTCAATTCAAAATTTTTACTATGATCAGTAAACTATGTTATCCGAGGGAAACAATATAATATTGGTTATTATTTAGTTGATGGTATCTATCTGAAGTGGTCAACGATTATGCAAACTATTCATGATCCATGAGGTCCGAAGAAGAAACTTTTTCCACAAAAGCAGGAATCATGTAGAAAAGATATTGAACGTGCATTTGATGTTCTACAGTCGCATTGGGGAATTATTGTTGGACCTATTCATTTTTGGCAAAAATATGTTTTGCATGATATAATGACTATTTGTATCATCATGAATAATATGATAATAGCAGAGGAACGTGATCTCAGTGCTCCAATCATTGAACGGTTGGAAGCACCGCTTATTGAAGTTGACTTGAGAAGAGGCCAACAAGATCAACGTGAAGCATTTTTTGAGTGATACAAACAACTTATAGATAGAGAAACTCACATATCACTTCTGAATGAGTTGATTAAACATCCATAGGAGCTAGGGATGAAAATAGGTCAAGCCAAGCTTTGGCTTAACAGGCCAAACCTATGTTGAAAAACTAAGGTCTGAGTCTAGCCTATTAGCTTGAAATAAAAGGATTACGAGTCTAGCATATTTTTAAGCTTGTGTGACCTACGAGTCTATTTAAAAGCCTATATAAGAATTACTCCATCCGTACGCCAAATTTAGGGACTTATTTGTAAATGACAAAGAAAATGTCCCTAAATTGGCGGATGGAGGGATTATATTTTTTTAAAATTCAATATTAGTAAAAAAATTATAAATGCAATTATTATTTTATATATATATATATATAATTATAGTTAAAATAAATCAATCTTATATTTAATTATTTTCACTAAATTAATTTTTTTTTAAAAAAAATAGAAATGCTTAAAAATATAATAATTTTATATATTAAATTAAAATTATATATAAATAGGTCGATCTGATAGGCCTAACATACTTTTGTAAAGTCCAAGTATATTCTAATTAATTAAATAGACTTTAAAATTAACCTAAATTGAATTGTTTAAATAAATAGGTCATGTCAAACTAGACCTTATGTAGGTAAAGAGGTAGGCCCCTCATAAGCCGTCTAGCATATTTCCACCTCTAATTGGACTTGCAAGCACGTTAATGGAGAGACCTACAACCATACACCAAAAGGTTGTAAAGCAGATCTTAAGATACTTGAAGGGAACAATCCATCATGACTAATGTATCAAAAAGATGGAATTGAGGAAACTATCACCGGATATTCAGACAGTGATATGACAGGAGACCTGGATACAAGGAAAAGTACCGGAGGAATGGTGTTTTACATCAACAACTCCCTTGTGAGGTGAAACTCACAGAAGTAGAAGACGGT